ATCCGCAAAATTCATACCGATTGAAAAACGACGTATGTCATTTTTCAATTGAAAAATGACATGCGTCAATTAATAATTGACGTAAATTGAAAAAAGATATAAATGAGTTAAAAAAAGAATTGGAACCTAAGAAAAATCGTAAATTTCAGGAGAAATGTATCTTAATAGCTCAAGTATTGATTGGAGAAGAACCTGTGGTTGAATATTGTCCATCTTTTATGGAGAGATTAGAACTTGATGCTTTCTTCCGAGATCATCAAATTGCATTAGAAGTGCAAGGAGCACAACATCAACTTCATAATACTAGCTAGTATAAAGATGTCAAAAAACTTGAGAATATTGTTAACCGTGATCGGAGGAAAAGATGTCAATGTCAACTTAATGGTGTATACCTTATTGAGGTATGGTATGATGAGAATCCAGAAGTTACTATTCCTCAAAAGATATATAAATATAGAGAATGTATTAATCAAAAAACCTTCGATCTCACGTAATCGATAATAACATTATATAAGTCGTAGATAAGGTGGAGTAACTGTGAAAGTGTAAATCATTGCTCCGCAGGTTTTATGGGGCTAACGGCTACATCATTTGAAATTTTAATATGTAAATTGCGTAAAAAATAAGAATTTGCATTATTTTGTGCTCTTGATAAAATTCGTCATTTTACCCTGTGATCTACGTGACAAATCGTGGAGTATAAATTTTCCGGTTCCTAATTTATCACAATCTCTTTTTTATTGTACACAACTGTGCCAAATGGAAAGTCCAGAACAAGGAGAAGAAGGAAGCAGACAAGGAGCTTTGAGATTAAAAGTTCAGGACAGTAGAAAAGTTAAAAATGTATATTTTTTTTACCTTTTTAAATTTGAATCCTAACGGATTTAAATACTACTATAACTGACGACTGATTTCATATTAGACGTCAATGATATATTCAAAATTTGACTTTTTGAATAGACCTTAGTAGAAACCCTCTTATGATGAACGCGATGCTAATTCTTTTATTTTAAATGCCAAACACCACCAACATGCCATATTATTAGCTATTAACGAAAGTGACCCGCTCTTATAGAAGGGATATATTGACCTTCATCATGAACATTATCTGCTTGAATGTATTTCTGCAGAAAGTAACGTTGACCTTACTATCGACTCTATACGACAGGCTCTAAAAAAACCTGGTATTCTTAAATTGCTATGTGAAAAAATTGTTGCATCTTGCTTCATACCCGAAAGATCTTTACGTTTGAATAGGAAAGTGAAAAATATCCACGATGCTATTATTGGTATCTTTCCATCAATCTTCTTTCCTGATCTTCCAATAGATTAGTTTACACCTTCGTTTGCACAGCAGTTGCACCGACAAATTGGAAATGAATTGATTAATAACGCAGGTCAATATAGAACGCGACATGTTATGGCGGCACAAGAAAACCATGTATATATTGCACTGGATTTAATCGAGGATAAAATGAATGAGTTATTCTGTCAATGTAGACAGAAATTTGGAAGGACAGACTTGCAGTTGGAGAAAGTTATTAAATATGGGGCGTGTTTTCTTGTCTATTTCTTGACAATTCACCCTTTTATAAATAGAAACGGAAGAGTAGCAAGATTGCTTTTGAGTTACCTCTTATCAAAATTCACAGTGGTACCTCTTTCTTTACATACAGGATCTAAAACACGAGATGTGTATTTATAATGTCTTCGTGAAGCACGGTATCAAGAACCATTTAATCCCAGTGCACTTACAACTTTTATACTTGAATGTGTATACAAGACATCTTATAACATATGTGTAGTGATGGATATTGATATTCAAGATTAATACAGTTAATCCTGTTATAAAGTAAAGTGATAATAAAAAGAATATGACCATGGTTTAAATTAGTATAAATTTGAAAGCCAAGATTGTCCAAGCAAATTATAATAGTTATAAAAAATCTCAATATAATCCGTAAGAGCATAAATTAATAAAGTTAACTCAATAGTCTCTACTAATCGCAAGTTACATTGTAAAAAATCATATAAAAATAAAATTTGGTGAGGGCATGGGACCCCCTTCTTTATTTAACGTTTTTTTGCCAGAATGGCATTATACAAATAAAATATATATTTATTATATAATAAAAAATGCCCTTAACGGGTTAGGTTGGTTGGGTTTACATTTGATCTAATATTTCCTCCCACTGACCAGGATTTAACTAATCATTATCATCATTGTCCCTATCACGCTCTAAGTTTTCTTTTGACATTTTTCCCCAGGTCTCATCATAAGATAAAAATTCTCTCGGCTTGTACAGTAGGGATTTTTCAAAAATTCGAAGATCATTTCTAGAATAGTCTATAATCGTGATTGACATGTGATTAGAGTTTCAATAATCTAATTGGCGCTTCGATAATCTTTTTTATCAAAAAATTCATGACTTTCATCGATCCAGTACCAGTCTAGTATCGCTATAAAGTTGTGTTTAACTATCAAAATACATAGTTTTCTACACGCATTTTCATAATTCATGAGAATCCAAAGACCTTAAAAAATTAGATTTTCTTTTATTATTCACTAATGAGTTCAAAAGATTCGAAAGTAGAAGCCAAAACGCTGCCCTGTATATTTGTTCCTTTTGCTAAAAAGCATCCAGAAAGTAACTTACTAGAATGTATAGAGAAATATAAATCTAAAGAAAAGCAACAGTGGCGAAATGCGTCTGCTAATCTAGCAACAAAAAGATTGACAGAATTGGCTAAGTATTTTCCTGAATTAGCTTCATTTCTTGAGTCTCTTGAAAGTTACTCTTTATGTGAATGGCATTATAATTAGATCATTGCTAAACCCTCCTTTATTAAATAATTAGAAAATGAATTAGGTTCTTCAAGTTTAGATGAGAGTAAAAGAAAAAGATTAAAACTCTCTAATGAAAATGAAAAATTTTTTACCGATTTTGGCACTTAAGTTGAACTAATTTCCGTTGATTTTGGAGTTCAAATATCTTTGCTAGCCATTAACTTTGGAGTTCAAGTATCTTTTCCAGTTATTGACTTCAGAGTTCAAGTATCTTTGATGAATTCAACATATGAAATTCTTTTGGAACGAATTAGTATGTTAGAAAATGCTAATAGGCAATTAATAGTCGAAAATAAAGCATTAAAAAAAAAATTACATGAAAGATTTACTAACCAGCAAGATCGTATTCAGTCTATTATAGAAATCGCTAAAAAAAAACAAAATAATTTATATAAAGATATAATAGGTTTAATGAAAAACCAAGAGTGATTTTCTTTAGATAGTCTTTTAGGATATTCTCCTTTCAAATGGCTTGCAAAATGAAATCTAGTTGTTGTGAAGTTTATAGAAACTCTTACTCATAATAAGAATAAACAACAACATGTTGGAAAGCTTTTTAAGTATACTGTAGCTGTTGATGCTATATATGGCTCATAGCACCTAAAATATGTTTCTGCAATTAATTTGGCTACTTTGGCTATCAAATATTCATTAGCAAGGTCAAAAATGATTGTGGATATTGATAACTATATTATTAGTTCTAGTAGCTATTCAAAATTTACTAACTAGTTAGAAAATTTAGCTATAGAACAGCTACTACTTCCTTACGAACTTTTATTTTTAGCTTTCGACAATGAGCAAAAAAGCTAAAAAAATTATTTGGACCGTAGATATAATAAGGTTATATTCTATACTATTACAAGTTTTGTTGCTTTTAATTATGATTAAAGTAATAATATTTAAACAACGAATCTCTAGCTACATTTCAAACCTACTCAAAAACAATATGAAGAATTATTTTACTTAACATCAGGTATGAAAGATGAAATTCATGAAGAGCTTACTAACTATCTTAAATTATTTTAGAAGAACTTCTTCTCGAGAAAAATCAAAAAACAAATATGATTGATGACTTAGTAAATTCTCAAAGCCAAATAGGAAGTATTAAAAAATGTACTTTTTGCCAAGCCTCTGATATCAATAATAAGAAGCAGATTTGTCCTAACTGTTATAATAAATTACCTATGATTAGTGAAATGAATCAACAACTTAATGAATAATCTAATATTAAAAATACTACTGACAAATCTCTAGTTGTTTATTCTTATAGATTTAAAGAATTAGATATGCAAGGATCAGTTCCAGAGGTTCATACACTACAAATATTTATTTCTGATCTGATAGGAATTAATCCCAATTTGATAGTTAATATTCGAAAAGTTCTTGAGCATATCGAAAAAGTATCTGAAGTTAAAAATCATAGATGTAAATAGGTCATGGTTATATGTGATGGAATACCGTATCATCATATACAAAAATAAAAAAGGATTTTTCCTAGCTTATATTAATTCTAGGTACTCTTTATAAAAAAATAAATATGTTAAAAGCATTTGTCGAGTTGAATTGGGATATTGATATGAGAGATTTTGCTTATTATCAGGGATATCAAACTGAAAATCAGCTTCAGTTCTTCAAAAAATATTCAGATTATCACAAATCATGAGATTCAGTATGTAACATATATAGGCATGCAATAGCATCTAAATTGATGTAACTATATATTATATATGAAAAAAATCCTTCTGTTTAAGGTTATTTAGAATAGGCCTAAGAACAAACTAATTCTATATATAAATTAAAATATGAACAAATCTTTCTTTATTTGCAAGCAATTATTAACTTTTGTTCTAGAGTTCGTTTTAATAGGCCTTCACTAAGACTTGCAGCTAGAAGAATTTTTGCATCTATTTGGTCTGCTTGATAGCATCCAATTTATCGATTAATTAAGATTTATAATAAAGAGCAAAGGTTACAATTGAAACCTAAAGTTTTTAATTTAATCCAAGAAAGAATCATAACCTCATAATCCAAACTTCAAATTAACATCAAGATTATGATACAATACTTGAAGAAATTAATAAAGTGCTTAAATCATTAATTCTTCCAATACTTTCACAATGATATTAAAAATTGTAGTACATAATTGTATTAAGTTTTTGAAATTATATACTAATCTTTTTAAGCTTAAAGGATACTCTGAGAGTGAAACCCAAGAACCTTGTATATATCTTGGTTTTACTGCTGAATCAAGTCATTATCAGGCTCAAATAAGAAAAACTTAATTCGTAAATCCAAAAGCTGACAATCATATTTTTCAAGATATAAATAGTGAACAGAAAATAAGTGAAGAAATAAATCGATTTAGTGACATTGTAAATATGAAGTGAATCGAATTTATTAAAGCTAAACTAATTAACAAAACAGCATTGGATATTTTGCACCTGATATCTATAATATGTGAAGAGGCAGATTTTCAAAAGACTGAAAGCTCTTTAACAAAATTGCAACTTTTGTCTATTATTAACTCTTTAACTCCTTCTTTAGATGATTCTAATCATTCATATTTCCTAGATTTATCAAGTAAATTTCATAACAATTTAATAAATATTCTTTGAGAGATTAGAAGTGTAGTGGCTGAAAATAGTATTAATATTGATAGTGAATAAAATAGATAGAGTACTTTTTGTAATTATAATTTATATTTATAATAAAATTTAAATAAAAAATTTTTTTAAGTAAATATATATTTTTTTTATCAAATTTATTTATAAATTTTTGTTAAATTTCTATTACTACATATCTATTACTGTATTACATTTTTAATACCGATATATTTTATTTAATCAATTACAATATTATTATAAAATTTTTTCAAAACCATGTCTAAAATTCTTTCAACAAACATTTACTCAGATAGTCATATCTCATTTTCTTTCTGAATTCATATTTTCATTTCTGACTCTAGTTTTCATTTTCCAGTGACGAAACTACAAAAAAAGAAAAATTAAAGCTGGTATCTGGTGCCTAAATTATTTTTGAAAAATAATATTTTTGGCAAAAGCTAAATTTCTTATATGAAGTCCTTCTAAATAACTATATTATATAATATATTTTGATAAAAAGTATTCAAAACTTTCAGCAAATACAGAAATATAAAAATTAATTTTAGCACTATATATAAGACTAATTTTAGCTGTCTAAATGCTGTAATTACTTTTTTATTAAGATGGCAATTTAGTTACCTATATATACTTCAGTACTTATATACCAGTTTTCTCTCCTGCTTCAGATCTTAGCATCCTGCTCAATTTCGCATTTCTGGTAATGAAGCTGCAAAAGGAAGAAAAAGCAAGAAAATAAAACAAATAAATGAAAAGAAAATTGATCTAGTACTCATTTTATATACCAGTTTTAGTTTACATCTATCTGAATCTTCATATCTGAGTTCAGATCTTTATTGTCCTATTTCAAATTCGCAGTTTCTGGTGACTTACAAAAAAAAAAAAAGAAAGTAAAAAAGAAAAAAGTAAAACAAAAAAAAATAAAAATTGGTATACTTAACTTCAGAACTTTGTATCCAAAAAAAAAATAATTTTAAAATTTAAATTTTAACAAAATAACGTTAAGCGAAGGATAAAGTTCTCTAGACATGTACTGGACCACCTGAATTAGCAAATGTAAGAAGAATTAACAATTTGATTAGCTAATCATGGTAGCACATAAAACAATCTGGAAAAGAAATCTAGAATAATTCAATTAGTGATTATTACTAAATAAGGAGTAATTGTCAATTACTAAATTTTGAAAAATCTCTGACTATTGTATTGTCATTTTGATTTAGAATAGTTAAGGGTCTTATTTTTCTTATTCTTAGAGGTAGTAGTGTTATTACTTGTGGTAGTGGTGTCATTAGTCTTGGGGGTAGTATTAGTGTCATTAGTTTTGGTAGTAATAGTTTTTTTATTACTGCTCATTTTTCGTTTCTAAATAAAAAATCATAGTAAGTAGAATTCAGTTTCATAGCTTTTGTAAAATGAAATAATATAAATTACTTTTTTTAAAAAATATAGACCAAGTAAATCAAGTAAAAATATATATGGGCCCTCAAAAGTAGAAACTAGGGAATTTGGCTAATTATAGGTTTTGAGATATTCGAAAAAATATTTTTGTCACATATAATCAAAACAATCTAAAAATTGCCTATTTAAGATTAACCTAGTTAAACAAACCTATTTAAATAGGATTATTAGATCTATAGATTGCTTCTAGAATAAAATATATGCAATATTTGCATAAAAATCTATTCTTAGATTATAGTGTCAAAAACTTTTAACTATTATATCACAAAAATTTATTAATTAACTAGACTTTCAATATTAAGTAAAAAATATTTGGCATTAAATATTATACCTGATCTATCAAACAGGTTAATTTTCAAAA